TAGGAGATGGGTAGGATGATGGGGAGGGGGGAGTAGGAGATGGGTAGGATGATGGGGTTGGATACAAAGTTCCGAGCTGTACATGTACCCGGTACTTTAGAGGAATTTTAATTCTGCACATCCGTCAAACTCACAAATGCACTGCTTATATGATAATCCAGGTCTAGTCCGACTGTACTAGCTGGACCCACTTTCTATAGGCATTCCTCTCGCCTGTAAAGAAATGTGAAGCCTTTGTACCCTTACCTCCTTTGGTGGTCTTTTTTTATTTAAAATGCCAGGCGCCTTTCAACACACAGCCTGCACACAGCACTGACTAGATTTTTTTCTCTTAGAATACAATGAATTGTATTGCTAAGGTCGATAAAATAGCTTGTACATCTGTGTATTGCAGTCGTATGTCAACCAATCTTGTAAAAACTTTGATGAAGTTTTCTTTAGGTAGGTTTATTAGTAATAATGTTGCTTTAGCTGTGGTTTCCTAATACTAGTGTCACCGTGTCTGGTAGTTAGCTTTTTTCTAGCATTGGTAGGGATAGAGGTGTCTGTCCTGAGGAAAGATCGAGACATCACCGATGCCAGCAGGGTTAGGTCAAGGTAGAATCATTCTCCCTGTTGGCAGGAGAGACGTATCCCAATACTGCAGTTTAGGTACTTACAGGTGAGGTACTTACAGGTGAGGTACTTACAGGTGAGGTACTTACAGGTGAGGTACTTACAGGTGATATTCATTCATTACTTGAATATCCATTTATTTCCTTAAGTTATCCCTGTGCTGCGCCGTTGATCATTGTTATGGAAACGGCACATTATAAATTTTCAATTGTTATTATAATTATTATTTTGACATATATGACATGGAAGTAAGCATAAACCACTGAAACACTCTGTACAAATTGAATTACCAATAGCAAATGTACGTTCTTGCTATTGAAGATTGCCTTGTACTTTATAATAAACTTAATTATCAAGACTGGTTGATGAAGAAGGCTGTGGTAAGGGGTTGATGCTCAAAGTGAAAGAAAAAACTTCAGCTCTTGACATGGAAAAGCAAATTGAGAAAAACAAGACCCCTTTCCAGAACAGTCATTGGGGATGTAATTGTTTGACAGAATCAAATTTATGTTTTTTAGATTTATTTCTTAACCAATGAAATAATGGTGATTTTATTACAGCACAGTAGAGTTCCATTGACATTTTCCTTTTTTGTATTCACAGGACCTCTTCCTCCATCAGGTTGCCCTATTGATCAAATCGCTTGTCCTTTTAGTGGTGAGTGCATTGCTACATCTGCCTTGTGCAATGGTAACCCTGACTGTAGCGATGGAATGGATGAAGCGACATGTGGCAATGGAGGTCAGTTGTTATGTCCAGTATTCATTTTATTTTCCTGTACATGTATGTCACGATGTAAAGCGAATAGCAAATCCTGTACAGAATGCAGTTCTTTGAACGTAAGTGAGATTTCTAATGTTCATTTGAAAGCAGTGAATCAAACTTAGTTTAAAACTGCACCATCAGATCTGTATTCCATAGGACCTCAGCAACAGTGTTCCAAAGGACCTGCCTCAGTGTTCTGTAGGCCCTACGCATCACTGTTTTGTAGGCTCAGAGATGCCAGCTTGTACTATATAGGCATTATTTTTACAGTTTGTTTAGTCCATTTATGACTGTACAATCCAGACAAAGATTTTTACGATTTCCAACTCGAAGGTAAAAAACCGTACAGTTGTGTAACTCTATGTAAGCTAGCACGGAGCCGGCCTTGTAATGTGCATGTCAGAAACGTGTTGTTGGCATCCCACAGTTGGTGCATTCAGGCTGCATGAGTAGCGGCAGAAACCAGTGTTGTTAAATCATCCGTTCGCCCCAATTAATGCTATAATGAACATTTGGCGAATAGGCACGATTGCTCTTCAAATGCAACGTGACTGTGTACGTCCATGCATTGTACATGTACTGATATTGTACACACGTGTGTCAAGCATCATGATCTTGCTATAGCTGACTGGAGTGGAGGACTGTTGAGGATTTGATTCTTGGATATTTGGTGAGCAACTGGAATTGTTTTGCATAGTGGCAACAAATGAGCAGAAGATCAGGGACGAATACACCACAAAAATGGGCCTTTGTTGCAAAGTCTTGTCATGGAGAACCTTACGTGTTTTGCAACGCATATAACTGTGACATGATAAATATTGCCCACGCTGGATCTTACGACACTGAGAAGCACATTAGTTAGGCCAAGAAGAAATAGCTCTGCTTCCGATTAAATAGGGTCAGTAGACGAGGATTTTTTGACAATTTTTTGTGCTGATTGAATGGGAAGAAAGTTGCCAAAAATTGCCACAAACGTGATTAAAATAAAAAACATAATCAGCAATTAATTACAGTTCACATTTGCACAATGCTAGTCAGGTAAATACAAGTGTTTTGACTTGAAAAAAAGTTGTTGACAGGAGAAGACAACAGATTTTAAAAAAATTTTGATGGCAATTTAAGGATCTTGCCAAAAAATTAGGGTCAGTCAGGAAACCGGAACTGGAAGTGCGACAGGATTACACTTTTTCATTTTGAAAAGTTGGCATCTCTTAAGGCCCTAGGCACCGTGTTCCACAGGCCCTAGGCACCAACATTCCAAAGGTCCTATCACCCGTGTTCCATAGGCCCTATGCATCAGTTTTTTGTAGGCCCTTGGCGCCAGTGTTCTGTGGGTCCTTTCCACCAGTATTCCGTAGGTCCTTGGCACCAGCGTTCTGTGGGTCCTTGACACCAGTGTTCTGTAGGTCCTTGGCACCAGTGTTCTGTAGGTCCTTGGTGTTCTGTATGTCCATAGCACCAGTGTTCTGTGGGTCCTTGGCACCAGTATTCTGTAGGTCCTTGGCACCAGTGTTCTGTAGGTCCTTGGTGTTCTGTATGTCCATAGCACCAGTGTTCTGTGGGTCCTTGGCACCAGTATTCTGTTGGTCCTTGGCACCAGTGTTCGGTAGGTCCTTGGCACCCGTGTTCTTTAGGTCCTAGCACCAGTGTTCTTTAGGTCCTAGCACCATGCAGTGTTCTTTAGGTCCTAGCACCAGTGTTCTGTGGGTCCTTGGCACCAGCGTTCTGTGGGTCTTTGGCACCAGTGTGGGCCCTTGGCACCAGTGCTCTGTAGGTCCTTGGCACCAGTGTTCTGTAGGTCCTTGGCACCAGTATTCTGTAGGTCCTTGGCACCAGTGCTCTTTAGGTCCTTGGCACCAGTGTTCTTTAGGTCCTAGCACCAGTGTTCTGTGGGTCCTTGGCACCAGTGTTCTGTGGGTCCTTGGCACCAGTGTTCTGTGGGTCCTTGGCACCAGTGTTCTTAAGGTCCTAGCACCAGTGTTCTGTGGGTCCTTGGCACCAGTGCTCTGTAGGTCCTTGGCACCAGTGCTCTTGTGGCTCTATTTGGAGTAAATGCTGTCACAAATTTCGTACATGTAGTACTCCCCACAGATGAAGCCTTGCATTTTATTTCGATGCTAACTTGCTGAGCAGTACTAATATATCATCCCAAAAGATACTGAAATTCTTAGAAAAATGCTGAACCTTTTTTTGTCTCAGGTTTGTCTGTTTTATGGACCCTAATATTGGTATTTTTTAGTCCTCCCTTTTTTTTTGGCCCTTGAATTTTTGTTTTCCTGTCGTTCCACCCCTGACAGTGTTTGGCATGTTTTTGGAGTATAATGATGAAAATCGTGGCAGAAATGAAAGGGAAATGAATCTGAGTGGATGGGATAGGTAAAAATGAAACTCCAAATTAGAAGTTTACTAGACTTTTTTCAAATTCTGGAAGTATCATTGACTTTCTGATTCTGACTCCACAGGGACATTTCAGTCGTCTCCATGTCCAGAGGGCCACACCTCCTGTCCTTTAAGTGATCAATGCATCCCGATGTCAGCTTTATGTGATGGAAACCCTGATTGTACTAATGCCACGGATGAATTGGGCTGTGAAGGTATTGGTAAGTTTTACTCCTGTCTTGTTTGTAACTTTGAAGTTTCATTCTAAGCACACCATGTTGTGTCTGTGATTTAAAAACTTTGTAAAAAAAATGTGTAAAATTGTACTTTACTACAAAAAGTGTTGGTGCGTTGAAACTAGATTAATATTCAGTTGGTGCAATTAAATATGATCAAAGTTTAATTTGACCTCTAAACTGAGATCAGGGGCATAATTTAGACTACTTAAATCCAGAAGAGGAACAGGTGTTCACTTTGTATTTAGGCAGTTCTGAGGGTCTAGTGTTGGTTTGTACTCCATATTTATTTGTCACGGTTTTGCTCTCTATAGTTCCTCCAGATGAAGCCAGCTGTCCTGCAGACCAGTTTCCATGTCCATTACAAGACAAGTGCATCTCTCTGTCTGAAGTATGTAATGGAGTCAGTGACTGCAGTAGTGGTGTTGATGAGATGAATTGCCCTGATACAACCTGTGAGTTGTCAGCCTTGCATTGTTTGAAACATGGAATTTATAGACCAGTGTTTTTCTCTTAAATTTTAAATGAGGCAGGTTCAGTGGGGCTCAGTACAGTGCAACGCCAATGGGAAATGTTAATTTATTTTGCGATTTGACATCCAGTGAGAACTACCCAAAAGGTTACATATGGCAGGAAATGAACATGCATTGAAGAAAAATGTGCAATTTGCATTGTTTTGTTTTACTTTTTGGTTTGGCGTTGGAAGTGCAAGCCAAAATTCCTCCAGCTTAAACATTGTTGAGGCAGGCCATTAAACATTTGAACGGGCCAGAACTAAGATCTTGTGCATCGGCAACATATATCACTACAATGAATGACTGTCATTTTACAGCAGTGGTTAGGACATGTCAGGTTGCTAGTAGTGTCCTCATTGGGTTTAGTCACATTGAAACTTTATCCATTCACTCAACATACGTACTTGTTTGAAATCTGATTTCTGTTTCCAGCTTGTGTGCCTATCTCTGTGTCAGAGTGTGCAGTGGGCTTGGATTACACGGAAACCTTGCTGAACTATAACATCGGGCTTTCTACCAGTGACATAGCAACTCTTTTCAGTAGTCTGTCCATCATATTTGAGAGTGGCTGCGGTACCTTTTTCCGACCTTTCATGTGTTCAACTTTTGTGCCACCTTGTGGCCAAGCATTTCAGCCACCATGTCGTGAACTGTGTCAGCTTGCCATAAGGAAGTGTTTGGAAACCTTTGAAGGGGAAATGACAGAAGAACAGCTGATGCCTCAAGGTGTAGGCAGTGGTGGCTGTGATGCATTACCCAGTCAGGAAGATAGCCAGTGCTATAATGGTAAGCTGTAAGCCCCCTAGTTGACTCCCACATTTGGTACCACTGGGTTGTGGAAGACTGAGCAGGGGTAATCTTAGCCCATTGAATCACATATCCAGGATGCCAATGGGTATGGGAGTCTCCCATTCCCTAAAGCAGGGGTAATCTGACCCCATTGAGTCACATATCTGGGATACCACTGGGTTAGGGGTACAAAGTTATCAGATCCCATTGAATAATAGTTAGGATGTCACAGTTTGCGGGGATGCAGGGGGTCATCTTATCCCATTAATAGGCACACATCTGGGATTACAGATGTTTGTTTATTAATGTCATGTTTTGGTGACTCTAATGTTGACTTTTTGTCTCCTGGATTAAATCAATGTATGAAGCTCAAACAAGTGTTCAATAAATACCAAATATTAATCAATGTTCCTACAAGAATAACTCAGCACAGCTCATCATGTATTGACCATGTTTGAACAAATAATTCAAATATTTACTCTGTATTCGGAACATGTGGTTGTAACCTAGTGATCACCACCTGACTTTTGCTGTTACAAAATCTGTGAAAATTCCAGTGTGGCACAAATTTATTCGAGCCCGCTCATTCCGAAATTTTGATGATGAACTTTATTGGCAGGATCTTGCTGATTTACCTTGGGGTCAACTGAGGTACGTCAATGGTCCCAATATGGCTTGGAATATTTTGAAAAACATGATTTTAAATGTCAGTGATATGCACTGTCCAGAGAAGAACTTGAAAGTTTGTGTCAACCAAACTAAGTGGATTAATAGCGATTATCTGGAGGTGAGAAAATACTTCGTGAAAACTAAACATACAGCCAATAAAACAGGGAACATGTTCCACTTTTGGTACGCTAATCAACGGAACAGACTATAAAAAAATAGGCAAATGAGTTGAAGCACAATTACGATCATAAAATAAATCCAAGATAATTCGCAAAATGCTAAAAACAATGTGGTCTTCCAGTAAGGATTTGTTGCCAGGTCATAGATGTGTGCAAAACTTTACCAGTGAGAGTGATACAACAGAACAGTAGCCTGGCTAATCGTTTTAATACACTTTTTTCTAGTGTGGGTGAATCACAAGATAAATTGTTCAAATCAAGTTTGGAAAATGTAGAAAGAATTCATGACAGTAACAATGATCACAGTATTATTGAACAAAGATTTGATCTTAGCCTAGTGTCTACTTCTAAAGTTAATAGGTTGTTGCAGATAATTCCTGTAGCCAAAGCCTACGGTATGGCCTGGATGGCATTAACGGCCATTTCCTGAAATGCGGGGCTTCCATTTTAGCTGAAACTTTGGCCTATTTTTTCCAAGTAAGCTTGAATAGCTGTGTTGGTCCAGACGATTGTGGCTCTATTCACGATTCTAATCAGTATCGACCAATTTGGGTTATTTCACTTGTAATGAAGATCTTTGAATGTATTATTTACAATCAGCTTCCCAATTTTCATGTCAACAATAATTGCTGTAATAGTTCTACAGCAGTCTGGTTTTCGACCTCTCCATTCAACACACACTGCATTGATTGACGTTTCTGATTTTTGTTAAATGCCATTGATTCAGGAAAGTTAACTGGTGCTGTTTTGCTTGACTTGCATAAGGCTTTTGACACAGACAACCACACAAACCTACTAAAAAACTGGATTCTATGGGCGTGAGTGGATTGGAACATGACTAGTTAAGCTCTTACCTTTCTTAGAGAAAGCAAGTCACTGAAATTGGGGATGTCATATCTGATGCACAATTGGTTCATTTTGGAGTTCCACAAGGCACTATGTCTTTTAATTGGACCTTATTGGAGGGTTCATGCAGGATTATCTGAAACCTGCAGTCATATCTGAGATATCAGGTAATTGTTTCAAGTGAAAGGTTACAGAACTTGTCTTAACCACTACCAGCCGGGGACTCCGG